CTAATGCCAGCATTTCTGCATTCAGACCACATTGACAGGGCTCTTGTCCTCCAAAGCAACTCCAAATCATTTACCACACAATGTGAACTAAATTTTTTTTTTTTTTCAGAAAATGTCGAGAAATGAATCTCTACCCAAAGGTTCTGCTAGTACAGCCATATGTTATTCCATTAAATTATTTTCTTTTCAAAATAAAAATTTTGAGGTAGAGTAAAAATTTTTCATTAAAAATACATGCCCAGAATATACAAGAGTCAGAAGCATAAAATCCCCACTTCCCTACTATTCAATTCTGCTCAGCCAACTAACTCCTATCTCCAAAATTAGCCATTTATTTTTACCAGTTTCTTATCTATCTTCAAGAGATTTCAGTGCATACACTATATATGCATATAATCTTAAAACAAAGAACAGATTGTGGCATACTATATGAACCACTCTACATTTTACTGTTTTTCTCTATCATTCCCTATCTAGCTGCCTCATTATCTTTCCTGAGAATTTCTGGATGCATCATGACTGATTTAGTTGGTCTCCGAATAAAGGAAATTTATGTTGCTCCCAATATTTTGTAATTAAAAAATATGCTTCAGTGCGTATCCTTGGCATTGGTCATTTTCCACATGTGCAGATACTTCATAGCAGAAATTCTAAGACATAGAAATGCTAGTTCAAATATTACCAAGTTTTAAAATGTTGACCAAAGTGTACTTACGCTGTGTATTAGAACACATGGTTCTTCACGCTCTGACCAGCTTGCTACCTGGCTCAGCCTTCATCTTTGCCAATCTCAGTAAAAAAATAATGCATCATCTTAATTTGCATTTCTTCTATTATGGGTGAAGTCAAGGATCTTTTAATGTGTGCAACAGACGTTTGCATCACCATCTGCTTTGTGAGCTGTGCATCTCCCTTGCTCGATTTTTTCCTTCGACTTTCTTTGATGTTTTCTCATATTTGAGGGAGCTCTTTATAAGTGTAGGAAACTACCCCTTTGTTCAGTGAGTTATATATTTTTTTATACTGTCCTTTGTCTTACTCTTTATGGTCTTATTTTTCACACAGAATACTTTACTTGAAATTTTTATTCACTTTTTATGGCTTTTATTATTTTTTGAAACAGTCTTTTTTTTTTTTTTAAGATTTTATTTATTTATGTGCAAAGAGAGCACAAGCAGTGGGGGCAGCAGAAGGAGAAGCAGGAGCCCAACCCAGGGCTCGATCCCAGGATCCTGGGATCATAAGCTGAGCTGAAGGCAGACTTACCAGACTGAGCCACCCAGGTGCTCCCCCCCTTTTTTAAGATTTTATTTATTTTATTTGACAGGCAGAGATTACAAGTAGGCAGAGAGATAGGCAGAGAGAGAGGAGGAAGCAGGCTCTCTGCTGAGCAGAGAGCCCGATGCGGGGCTCGATCCAGGACCCTGGGATCATGACCTGAGCCGAAGGCAGAGGCTTTAACCCACTGAGCCACCCAGGCACCCCCCAGGTGCCCCCTTTTAATGGCTTTTAGCTTTGGGTCATAATTAGAAAGGTCTTCAGCACTCTGAGATGATAAAAAGCTACACTACTTGATTATGTTAGGTCCTCCATTGATTCACACATGGAGGAGTGACTGATTTTTTGCCTTGGCAAATGCAGCCTCCTCAGCATTGTAGAGATGCTTGTTGTCTGTGATCACCTAGAGGCCACGATCTGACTTCATAGGCTCTTCAGCCTTCTTTGTTTCTCTCAGCATATGGACTTCTCCAGGCGTATCACACCCCTGTGGTCAGGACATTTTTGGGTACAGTGGGCCCAAGGAGCTTGGTAAACAGTTAATGAGCTGACCCCACCTGTCTTTCCCAACCGGGATCCCTATAGGTCTTACTAGTTCCATCCATGGGAACCCACCATGACCCCAACTCACACCATAATTTCTGTTCATTAGCTGTGGTCTTTGCCTTCTGTTAATCTGAAGGATAAACTCTTTAAAGTTCATTCTTATGCAAAGGATGTGACATTCTAATGTTGTCTGTCATGTTCTTTGGGAGCTTACACCAGTTCACACCAAATCCCCTAGAGGATGATGCGGGATGGACTGTGGGGCTCTCTGGTTTGGTCATTGTTTGAACTGGCCAAGTTCTCACCATTGGTGATTCGTGTCCAAGCTTTCAAAATCTGTAAACCAAGACACAGGAGGACGGAAATTCCAAGGGCAAAATACTGGACTTCCACGAATAGGGATGAGGCCCAGGGAAGGGGTCATCTGTACTTGGGACAAAGGGAAGTGGGCAGCAACTGTAGGTTGCTTAGGGTGGTGCTAGTCTGTGACCTGGGAAGTCAGATCTTAGACCTGGATAGGCAGATCTTCTCTTTCCTAATGAAAAATTTTCATTAGGATGTACCAGCTTGAGTTGAAAGATGTAGAGGTTTATTGTAAGGACTCAGGGAGGCAAGTGAGACTTTCTGGAAACCAGAACAATGTCCGACAACCACTCTCTCTGCTCTGTTTGAGAGATATTATCTCTTACCTGTTTCTGGCTTAGATCCTACATATGTGCTTGTCACTGTGTTCAAGGTAAGGATGGAAACAGGCATGGGGGACTAGGTGTAGAGTCTGCTGCTTTGTTCAGGATAATACAGGGACTGTGTTTACAAGGGTGAAGGGTGCTAATCCAAATGGGTATGTGTACAGTTACAGGGTACGAAAAGGTCTAAAGATGTCAGAAAGTCTTCTGAGAAGAATGTACTGAGTTGGTGCTGTCCCCACCTCTCGGAGGAAGGCACCCAACTAGTTAACATGAAGTGGAGGTACCACAACCAGGGATAATCAGCTGAGTGGGAGCCTGGGCTGCTGGCTGGTGGCAACCAAAGAAGTGAGGAAGAGACAAAGAGGGGGAGGGAAGTGTCTACAGGTGGCAGCTGGATAGGAGTTCCTCAGGTGACAAGGTTCCCACGTAAGATCATATTTGAGTGTGTTTCCATACTTGAGACTATTTCCAGGCCCTGGGACTCTCATCATGGTGGTAGGAATGGCCTGCCTGGGGCCTTCTTTCTCCTTTGCTCTGGTCAGCTTCTTCTGAAAGGCTTAGTTTCAGCTTGATCCAAACTTCACTTTCCCAGGGTATTGGTTGCTATGAAGCCAATACTGGCTTTGAACACAAGTGCTTTGGACCCCTGGAGCCCAAAGACTGTCTCAAGATACTGATCAAGATCGAGTCCTTGGTTGGTGCTACTTGGGCAGGTGTTCATCCCTAGACCAGGTGGAAGTAGGCAGGGGGATGGGTCCCTTTCAAAGAGATGACCACTCAGTAGACAAGCCCACCAGGGGATCTGTAACAGTTGGACCTTTGTCAATTAGGTGACAGGCTATGGGCCTGAACTACATTGAAGTGTAGTTTTTAGTTGGCTCATATATAAAATGGGGCCAAGAAGGAAAGCGGAAAAAAACGACGATTCTCAGGCCAAAGACCTTTGTGCATCTGTCTGCAAAATCATGCCTCTGGCAACATCTTTTCCCTTGCCTCCCCTCCCAGGCTGCTGCTTTGGGCAGTCTCTGGAAGGGGAACCATGATTTGTGTTTATATCCCTCCCTCTCTCCCTTCCTCCCTCCTTCCCTCAATTCATTAATCATTTCAGTCAACTGAGGGAGTGGCGTGAGAATGGGGGACCATGCTCCACATAGAGGACGGAAGGATACAAGGACGATTTTGATCTTCTGGTCATTGGATTTTTCCATGACCAGTGTCTATGGCAAAACTGCAAAAAGGGGAAATACCAAGAGGTGTTTGTCTTGTTGGTGTGAATGAACTATTGACCGAACTCCATGCGTGGGTCTGAGTCACTTGTGGCTAGTGCTGGAGAGGAGGCTGCTTCTTTGCTCTCTGTTTCTCTCTTTTCCTGTCTTTCGTCCTCTGTCTCTTTTGATCTCTTGGTCTCTGTCTATATCTCTGTCTCCCTCGCTTGTGCATGAATGCATAGACCGCTTTGTCTCTGCCCAGGAGGTTGAAGAACGGTGACTCCAGGTCAAACCCCAGTAACTTTCAGTTAATGACAATTTGGAGCTTTAGGTACTGCTGCCACTTTTGAGGTGGGAGCAGCTCCCCAGACCCCGACGGTGACTGACTGTCACAAGCTCTCATGTGCCTCATGGAGAAGTAGATAAAGGTCTCAGAGGGAGAATGCCACAGCAAGATGGCCATCCGTCCGTTCACATGGGGGCCCAAGCCCTGGCTCTCCTGCATCCCCGCTGGGGTACTTTGGACAGGTTCTCAGCCTCTGTGCTTCTGTAACTGTACTGTGGGGCTGAAACGGAGACCTGTTTCTGATATTCTTGTGAGGGTCAAAGAACAAAGCACACAGAGAGCAAAAAGGGCACAGCAGTGTGCGCACTCCAGGAGCGGCATCTGTTGCTGGGTGACGCAATGGAAAGGCAACCTGCACCCGCCACAGGGCAGCTGGGTGTGGCCCTCCAGCTAGGGCGGAATGTGCACGCTCAGAGAAGAATTTAAACCAGGGCTGCCTGATAGAGGCATCCGGAGGGCCACACATGGAAGTCAGAATTTTCTAGTAGCCACATTAAAAAGTAACAGATGAAATTAATTATAATATTATGTGTTACTTCAAATATTCATAGTATATTTATGTCTTGAAATACAACACTTTATTTTTAGGTATTCAAATATCATTTCACATGTAATCAATGTAAAATATTGATGGTGTATGAGTATGAATGAGATTTTACAATCATTTTATTTTTCTCACAAGTGCCTTCAAAATCCAGCAGGTAATGTGTACTTACAGCATGTTTCAGCTCAGATTAGTCCTATGTGCTTCAGGGCTGCTGTAATAGCAGTACAGGCCTAGACCCCTCTAGGAGGGGGCCAGAGAGAAGGAGAGAAAGTCCTTTGGGTAAATGTGGCGAGAGACTGGGGGTCATGCCAACCCGGGTTACTCCAGATTGGAATTTTGTCTTCAATATGGGTTCCCCCACCTGTTTTTGTTTTTCTTTTTACCAGGACTACAAATCTGAGAACTCCACCCTCCTCTCCAGTGCCAGGAACAGTCTAGAAGACTCAGTAAGTAGAAGCATTTTGCTGAACAGATTAGATTCAGAAACTGCTTTTGCATCCTTTTCAGCCTTCTTGGTCTCCGTCATCAATCACCGGGACTGGTTTTTACCTGAAACTGATCTTGCTGGAGGAGTAACTGGGTTTGAGGGGAATAAATGTTCCTGGGCACTCACAGAATTTCTATTAGGAGACATGTGGGGCCAGAGTCTCAGCCCGTGTTTCGCAGTACATGATATGAAAGCTGAACACCTCCCTCGGGGAAGGGCCCGGCCTACCTGGGGGACAGGTCTGGGGGAACAGTGACTGGCAGAGGGGCCATGTGCTGGTCTATTTGCTTCTTGATGCGGAGATGGATCCCGCAGTGGTGGGAAAATGGAAGGAAGTTTAACATCATTTGATTGATTCCATGGTAGAGACCAGAATGCTTATGAGCGTGTTGAAAGGCCCACGTGATGGTGTGGAATTTGGGTCATTAGGGCAAAGGACTGTGGATGGTGCTAGAGATGGATTCCTGTGCCCCTTGCCTGTGTCACCCAGGTGTATAGGGGCAGGGATGTTCCCTGCACTTAGAGTTCCAGAAACATCCCTGCTTCTCCTCTCTGGGATGTGAGAGCTATGTGGTGCAGTCCTAAAGCGTGTTCTGTTTGTTGATAGCTGGTGACCGTGAGATGATTTGAAGGGGCACATTTGTATTAGTCACGATGTGTCTGGTCTCATGATTATCTTTATTTACAGCAAGCGATACTGGCTTTCCATTTGTGGTAGCGATATGAAAATTTTTTTGGAAAATATTTTTTTAAAGATGTGAGTTGACTTAGAAAAGAGTGCAGATGAAGAACAGTTTGGAGGTAATATGTAGGTGTGGCAAGTGGTGATAAGAGAATGGCTGAGAGTAAATTCTTTTATCAAAGGACGTTGAGGGGATCTTGGTCAGCATCTGTGTGTGTGCCCATGTTTGGTGTGCTCCCAGTCTATGCTGATACTGGGTGCAAACTGGACACCCGAAGGACCCCCTCCTTGGCCTCTGTTCCCCCAAAATGACTTTTGAAGCTGGAGTTTTATTATAAACTCATAGCTGAATCACCTGAAAGGAGTGTGTCTATCTGTGATGCCCAATGGAGGAGGAAGAAGATGAAAAACGTTGAGAAGTGACAGTCACACTACTGGCTTTCTTGTCCCACTTTACATCCAACCAATGCTTCCTCTCGGTGCTGAGTCAGTCCCCTCAATGACCCCGTCGGGTAAGTGCTGTTTCTGCCTTCGTTTTTTGGGTGAGGAAACTGAAACCCAAGTACAGAATGTGCCCAAGGTCACACAGCCTGGCCTCCCTCTCTGGTTGACTGTGTCACAGTCCGTAACTCCACAGCACGTCTGTGCAATAGTCTTCTCCTTTTGTAGATGGGGAAATGATTCACGGATCAGGAAAGTGGATTTTATGTCTTGGCACATGAAAAAGTACCCTTGCACCTTGGTGGTTTAAAAGGACAAACATTGTCTCACAGTTTCTGTGGCTCAGGAATCCGGAGTGGCTTAGATGGCTGGTTCTTGCTCAGGTCTCGCCTGAACTGGCACTGTCTTCAAACGCAGGCTTGAGTGGGGCTGGGGCATCCACTTTTAGACTGCCTTGTTCCTGGTGGGTGGCTTTAGCTCCTGCAATGTGGACCTCTCCATAAAGCCATTTGCGTGTCCTACTGACATGGCTCTCTAGCAGGGGGAGAGAGCAAGGCAGAAGCTGTGATGTGTTTTATGATCTCTCCTCAGAATCCACATGCTGTCACCTCTGCCATATTCTGTCCCTCATGCAAACCAACCCTAATGAAATTGTGGCAGATGGCTACACATGAATGGAGATACCCAGAGGGGAGGGATCACTGGGGGCCCTTTTGGAGGCTGGCTAGCACACTTTTCATAATCTTAGAATAACCATGCCCTGTAGTTGCACACAGTATTCTTGTAATGTCATGCCACATCTGTGAGAAGAAAACCTAAAGATACTGAACCCATTTTGCAGGTGGAAAAATGAAGCATGGAACAGGGAAGCAACTCACCAGACTCTGAATGTGGCCTTGCTCTGCAGGAGCTTTTAAAGGGAAACATGGAAAAGTGGGGAGAAAACCTTCCACTTTAATGCTCATTGTCCACAGTAGGGCCAAAGGTGGCTTGAGAGCTCTTCATGTGTCAGGATCTTAGAAGAGCACCCCCTTGATTTTCAGCTTTGTTGGATTGGGTTAGCTATTTTTGGGCCCCAAGTCCCACCTCATTAAAAGCTGATGGGTTCTCTCTACTGGAAGCAAAGATGCTGTCCTGTTAGTTTCCCCACTGGAAGCTGAGAAACTTCAGAGGTTTTCTGAGATCAACAACCCTAACCTGTTCCTCCTTCTCCACCTTTGACTTTCACGGTGCTGCCAGTCTAGGTCCTTCTGGCTGGAATCCATGGGTCAGCTTCCTAGCCTAATAAGTCATAGGTAGAAGCAGTAATTTTTGTGACTTATGTTGTTGGCAGCACGTTGGTGACCAACAATTCTGGACGGCCGCCTGTCTCACAGGTTTCAAAGTGTAAAACATGTTCACTCCGATGCAGTAATGACACTTCTAAGAACTTATACCTTGGGGATGAATGGACAAGTATGAGAAGCTGTGTTTGTCTATTTGTTGACGGATGGTTGTATTAGCAAAAAATAATAATCATAAAAATACAGCCTCAATATCCATCAATAAGGAATTGTTTAAGTAAATTACATGCATCCATAAAGTCCAGTTCAAGCTGCTGCTAGAATTTCGTGGTGAGGATTTATGTTTATGGACTTGGAAAGATGCTCATGACATATTGTTGAGTGAGAAATACAGCATATATCCTATTATTCCAATTATGTGCAATTATATTCATATATCTCCCTTTCTCTGAATGCAGAGAGAGGTGTCAGAAAGGCAGATGGGGAATTGAACAAAATTGGTGGTTTTACATTTTTCTTTGGACTCTTCCAGTTTTATTTATTTTTTATAGTGAGTGGTTATTCTCCTTGATAGCAGTAGTAGTAATAATAATAATGTTGATAATGACTATTTATAAAATTAAGCAGTGAGTCTGGGCTGTTAAGTGAGGATACCCAGGGCAGCTGATGCATTTTATTAAAGTTTTATTCTTAATTGTCATAGAAATGCTACAGTCCCCTTGGAAGAGTGAAAAATGAGGCTCACAGGACTGAAGCAGGGCCTGGAGGCAGATTTTTTTGGTCCTTGGCCGCTCCAGGAGCCAGAAAGCCTTAGGCCTTGGCATCTCGCCACCATTTCCACTCACTGCCCTGCCCTGTGCTGCCACCCAGCTCCCCCCAGTTCCGACCCCTGGCTTTCCACTTGGGTACCACCTTCCAGAAATGGCTTTTTCTGGATACAGCAGGTGCCATTCTCTGGCATCCAGGATCCAGGACATAATAACAATGATGCCAGCATTATTGGGCACCTAGGAAGTACCTGGCATTGTGCTGAGTGTTTCAAGTGCATTATCTCCTTTATACCCCAGAGTGGCCCAGTGAAGGAAGAACTATCCCCACCCCCATTTCTGCAGGCGAGGAATAGTCTCAGAGTATCCTAGATAATGAGTGGTGTTTCTGGGACTCAATCTGGTTTCGACTGTTTCCTTAGCTGGGTTGCACTGAGGATAGGGCCACCTGGTTTAGTGGTGTAAGGAACATTTCTGGGAACATCTTAGATGTGGGGTTGATTCTGGAATCAGCAGGTAAGGTGGAAGTGATACCTGGTCAAAGTTACCTGTTAAGGATAACTAAAGGATGCCAGGTTGGAAGCCCTTCTACCCCTTGGTATATCTCAGACAGCCACCCTTTCTTCGACTATTAGAACAAATTGAGGTCTTTGCTTAGGTGCCACATGAAATGGTTGTATTGGGGTGACATGGTGGAGTCATGACATGTACTTGTCTTTAAATATTGGGGTCATCTGTGGCCAAATGGTCGCATGATGGGGGACACTTAGGAAATGAAACCAAGTGAGAAGCTTGCAGATTACAGTCCATTCTGGGAGCAAATGTGTCCTAAAGTGGATGGAGGTGACCCTGCCCCAGCGTGAAGAACATTATTACTCTCACTTTTTCTTTCTTGATTCTCCTGGAGACCTAGTACATTTAAGTGGCAGAGCCCAAGTTCCTACCTAGGTCTGCTTCATTCCTGAGCTCTATTTCCTAACCTCTCTACTCTTCTGTAGTGGAAATACACGGTGTTTGCTTTCTTTTCTTGCACAAAAAATTGTTTGCTTTCTTTTGCTGCACAAAAAATTGCCAGTAACTTAGTTCAAAGCAACACCTGTTTATTATCTCAGCTAACAAGTGTCAAGGGTCTAGAAATGCATGGCTGGGTCCTCTGCTCAGGCTCTAACAAGGCTGCAGTCAAGGTGCCAGCCAAGATCGGGGTCTCATCTGGAGCTTGGGTCCCCTCTGAGCTCCAGTGGTTGTTGGAAGAATTCAGTTCCTTGCAGGATGGAAGTCCTCTGTTCGTAGAAGCTGCCTGCAGTTCCCTGCCACATCGCCGTCATCATAGGCAGTTCACATTTTGGCAGCTTACTTTCTCAGGGCCACCAGGAGAGTCTCCTGGGCATGCTAGCAAGATGGAGTTGTGTGTGTGTATGTGTGTGTGTGTGTCCCCTAATATAGTCACACATGTGGCATTCCATCACATTTTCTGTCAGAGGCCAAGTCACAGGTCCTGCCCCTACTGTAGTAGAAGTGTGATCTATGGCATAAACCTGGGTCTGTCCACCCCCACATGGTTGGTCATGGAAATGCAGAGATAAATCCAACTTTCTCCCTGTCTTGGGACCAAGTGCCCTGCTCCAGCATCTCTCTGGTCGGCATCCTCCTCTTCCTCCCCCAGTAAAGGGCTCATAGCTCCCCCATGCACCAGCCCCCATGGCAGTGCAGGACTCTCCAGCCTTCCTGCCCCCCCCCACCCCAGCCATCCGGGTGTCCTCCTCCCCATGTCGATTCTGTGGCATAC